CCAAATAGTGAAATTGTTAGGTTTTCTTTGTATTTTGATGATAATTTAAAACTATGATTCAAAAGAGTTTAATCTATTTTTGTGCTAAGTGTGCAAGAAAATTAATTCAAGGATTCTAATCTTTCCCCACGATTAGAATTAATTCATGTTTTGTTCAGAGTTCTGGGTTCGAACCAATTTATTTTGGTTCAAATCAATTTCGAATTTTTGTTTTCCGAAAATGGTTCGAAGCAATATTTCTGGCTTCGAAGCAAAAATTCTAGAAGGTTAAATTTTGACAGTTCAACTATCTGTTTATTCTTAATGGGTCATAGGATATCTAAATGTCTTAGCACTTTCCAAGACAAGTCAGAAGAATAAGGTGGAACCTAATTGGGGCACTTGTGAGGTGGCTTTGAAAGGCTAAAAGGGCTTTAATTGCAAGGCTCCTAACCAACTATTAAAAGGATATCAAAAATCAGATCTGGGAATGAAGAAGGACGAACTGCTCTAGCAATACAGAAAACAGGGTTTGTTTTTGAAAGTGTTCTGGATCTCCTTCTTCTTCTATTCTTGTGAGCTTTTGGGTTAATTGTCTTACAAGGGTTTTGTATTCTTCTTAGATTGGGATAATCCTTGAAGGGGTTGAGTGAGTTGAGATTCACTTGTGAGGGTTTAATCTTGCACCCGCAAGCAAGAGTTTGTTCCGGTTTAATCTCGCAACCGTAAGCAAGAGATTTCTAGTGGATTGAACTCTCGAGCAAGGAGGCTTGGGGAGTGGACATACTCCGGGTTGGAGGAACCACTATAAATCACGGCTTGATATTCTCTTCCTTCTCTTTTATTTTTTTGCACTATATTACTCTTGTTTATTCTGCACAACAGCTTATATATATTGAAAACTTCATTCACGTTTTTATAAAGGAAATGAAATGAGTTTTATATCTTAGGAATTGATGGGTAGCTAGTTGGGATTACAGAAATGTCATTTTCCTTTGACTTTAGAAGTCCAAAGGACCCTCGAATATCCTTGCTCATGGATTGCTTTGTTAACTTTAAAGCTGTCTGTCTCCTTCAAGTCATCCTCAGCAATAGGCTCTTTCTTAGGCTTTTTCTTGGGTTTGTTTCTTTACTAAATTGAGTTGCAATCCAATTAGAGAATGAGTTCAGCTCTCTTTTCAATTGCGAGAAAAAACACACTCCATTCTCATCTTTGAAAAATTCATTCTCCAATTTAGATCTCTCCTTTTAGTTCAGCCATAGGGCTTTGGTTTGGCCTAAAAGACCCACGAGTTGACCTTGTTTTTCACAAGGGTCCCATATTATTCTTGATAATATCTACTGAGATCATGAAATAAAACAAATAATTATATTAATAATAATCAAATTAAATTATAGAGAAAAAGAAAAGAGAGACTGATGCAAAACTTACTCAAAATCTTTGACAAGTGTTGAATTATTGGCTTTGACCTTTTTGTGGTAAAAAAAGTTGATGAGATTAACTCGATCTATATTAATTCAAAATCGAATCATTCTTAAGGTAAAATATTTTAACTTCAACTTCCATAACTTTATCTTTGAATCTACCTCCTTTATCTATTGATAGCAATGCTGCCTCTAGCTCTACTTCATGGGCATTTTGCTTTTTTAATGGATTAATTAATGAAATGACTAAAAAAATATATTTTTTATAGTTAAAAAATTAAAAAAAATACAAAAAACAATTCAAAAATTAAAAATATTTAAAATCAAAAGTTGAAGGACTAAAATTTACATTTAACCTTTTTTTTTTTTTTTTTTTTTAAAAATATTTAAAATCAAAAGTTGAAGGACTATTTACATTTTTTTTTTTTTTTTTCTCTACCCGGAAGAACAAAGCAGGTACATCTCCCTCAGAAATCTTCCAACTCCCACGATCTCCGCTCTCTTCCATATCTAGACATATTTACTGAGAAACTTAGCGGAAATCCTCTCTATCCACAATGTCGCTCCGACCCAGTACCCGGACGGAGGTGCGGAAGAAGGGTTACAAGACGGGTGTTGATGCGGACGAGGCGAGGAGGAGGAGGGAGGACAATCTGGTGGAGATCAGGAAGAGCAAACGCGAGGACAATCTCCTCAAGAAGAGGAGAGAAGGGCTATTGCTTCAGTCGCAGCAGCAACTGGTGAATTCGTCAACCAACGATGCTGCTATTGAAAAGCGGGTACACCTCTTTTGGCTTGGGATTTTTCTACTTTTGATTGATGGGTTCGTTTTGTTTCATCGGTAAATGTGAGGTCTTGAAGTGTTAAAGATAAAGAATCAGAAGTCTCGACCTTGGTAGAGGATGGTGTAGCTACTATAACAGGAAAGTAGAATTGGAGGGGATTCTTGGATGCACTAAACTGAATATAGGAATTATATAGGAGAAAAGACGTAGGATCTTAGATCGTAAGTTTTTTCTTTGCATTGGACTTGATATAAGCTAAGTGTGAATTGAACAGAGCTGTTTTTCATTTAGTTATTCCCGTATCACAAAGGAGAAAATAAATTTGCTCATATCTTTTGTCCTAGATGGTTTCCATTTTGTTTGTATGTGTTGATGGATTGTTATCTTTTATAGTTGGAAAGCATTCCGTTGATGGTACAAGGTGTTTGGTCTGATGATCCTGCCTTACAGTTAGAAGCGACTACTCAATTTAGAAAGTTATTGTCCATTGGTAAGAATGTTTTCCTCTCTCTTTGAACAATTAATCTGCTAAAGAATCCACACTAATTTCAACTTTTTCTATCACTTGTAGAGCGCAGTCCCCCAATTGATGAAGTAATCAAAGCTGGAGTTGTTCCTCACTTTGTGGAGTTTCTTGCAAGGCATGATCTTCCCCAGTTGCAGGTATATCTCGATTTTCCTGTTTTTGTTCAAGTGAAATATTTTATGTAATAAGTCATATTAATAAGATAAATGAATTTTCCTTTATTGTCAGTTTGAGGCTGCTTGGGCTTTGACTAATGTTGCATCTGGCACATCAGAGCATACAAGAGTTGTTATTGACCATGGTGCTGTTCCAAAATTTGTTCAGCTACTTAGCTCTAGTAGTGATGATGTGAGAGAGCAGGTTAGTTCTTATTTCAACAACCCTTTTCCTATTCCAGCATTATGTGATCCTGATGACTGTGGAGTGAGAAAAGGCTGCTGGTTTGCACTTAATCCTGATTATTTATAGTATTTCAATTATGCATACTGATAAATCAATTGCAACCAAACTCATCTGAATCTAAGATCAAAAATATTTTTAGAATGCTGGATGTGCTCATGTACATTTCTTGATATAGCAATGCTTTTATAATGTATATCCTGTTCCTGGTTGCTCTACTTTTCCTCCATGTAGAAAAATACATTTTGGAGATCTTTTTTTCCCATGCATTGTTTAATTTTACTTTCTTAATGATCTCAATCTGCAACTATCTGTTACCTGAATCTAAACCCTTCTCTGTGTTCTATTCTATTTGATTTTTTTTCTTTTCCAGCAGCTACTAATATATTTGTTGTCTCTACTTTCTTGTTTTTGCTTAGGCGGTATGGGCTTTGGGTAATGTTGCTGGTGATTCCCCAACTTGCAGGGATCTAGTTCTTGGTTGCGGTGCTCTCATGCCATTATTAGCTCAATTAAATGAACTTTCAAAACTATCCATGCTGAGGAATGCCACATGGACTTTATCTAATTTCTGCCGAGGCAAGCCACCAACACCATTTGAACAGGTATTATGAGAGGTTTCTTTGGACTTTGTTTGATAACTTTACGGACTTAACATAAGAGATCCTGTTGATTGTTGTCCTAATTTTGTACCCTTTGAGTTGATGAATGATAACTCTATTGGGAGTGGCAATAACATTTCTTGGCTTCTTTTAGGTGAAGCCTGCATTGCCAATTCTTCGGGAACTTATCCACTTGAATGATGAAGAAGTTCTGACAGATGCTTGCTGGGCACTATCTTATCTTTCAGATGGCCCAAATGACAAAATTCAGGCTGTGATTGAAGCAGGGGTCTGTCCACGGCTTGTGGAGCTTCTCAGGTAAGCCTCTATTCCCTCCTTGAAAACTCTGGCTATGATTAAATTGACACTTTTTCATTCCCATTTACCCTAGTTCCCCACCTCCATCTTAGCATGGAACTCTCAGCATCTTCTTTATTGTGGCTATGGTGCTTGTTCTTGCTTCTCTGTATCATTGTGTTTTCCATGGTTTTTGTAATTTGTTGAACTCCTGGTACTGACTAAAATTCATTTATGCTAGTCATCCATCTCCTACCGTTCTTATACCTGCTCTTCGGACAGTAGGAAACATTGTTACTGGTGATGATGCCCAGACTCAGGTACTAACTGCATTCATAGATGTGTAGTATATCCTTAACAATGCATTTTCTTTCTGTATGCTACAGAATTTATATTCTTCAAGGTTGTTTTCTGTACTAGCTTTATGTTCTTTTCAATTGGATTACTTGTATATGACTTGTATTTGTATTTTATTCAACCATTTCAGATATGGTTACTAGTTACTACACTTTGAAATGCAATTAGGAAAGCACGACTGTATATGGTAGTATAGACTTTTGAGACATTTATCAAAAGCTGTGAAACTGTTTCCTTTCTTCCTTTTCTTTAACATTAGTAATGCTGGGTATATTTTTCAGTTTGTAATTGAGAACAATGTGCTTCCTTATCTCCATCAACTTCTTATTCAAACTCACAAAAAAAGCATCAAGAAAGAAGCTTGTTGGACAATCTCAAATATCACAGCTGGGAATAAGGCTCAAATACAGGTATCATACTCTTTTAGTCCATTCCCTTTCTTTGTGATTCTGTTGTCAGCATATATGTGACATCATAAGTTCTAATACTGCAAATTATCTCATTTTCATTTGCATGTCTGAGACCATTCAAGAACACCTAGAACAAAGAAGGTTGCTATTATTTATCCCAATGATAAACATGTCTATTGGATGCTGTGTATGACTGTGTATTTGAGAGGGATGGAGACTATGATGCTTGTTTATAGGTTAAGAAAGGGGTGATATAGAAGATGTAATGGTGCCAAGAACTAGTTGCTTGAAATTTTAATTAATGAATAGACAATAGTCCAGGCGAAAGGAGAAAGACAATAGTCAACTGAAGCATCACTTTTGTTTGTAATCTTATTTCAATTTTGTTTAGAGTCAATGTGGTGTTACTCAATTCTGAGGCACTGAGTAATTTTTTGCCTCTTGTGACAGGCTGTTATTGATGCCAATATCATCCATCCTCTTGTTCACCTTCTTCAACATGCAGAGTTTGACATAAAAAAGGAGGCTGCATGGGCCATCTCAAATGCCACCTCTGGAGGATCTCATGAGCAGATTCAGTATGTTTGTTACCCACTGTTGTTTCTTGCTTTTATGATATTTTCTTAGATGATTACAATACATGTATGCATAATTTGTAATGTGCATAGCCCCACATGTAAGTGCACTGCATAGCCCACATGCATGCTGATGCAGATTACATGATGTGCAAAGAACCACTATCACATATGCAGATGCTGATAGGTACACACAACTTGTCATGTGACTAGACTTGGATATTTAGTTAGCAGTTGTAGCCCTATGTCTAGTTTATGCATGAAAAAAGTACTCTGATGAGTTGGTCGGGGCAACATTACAACCCATACATTTAACAATTTTATTTCAACACATGCATGAATGATCGTCGGCATTGGATGGAAACATCACAGAATCTCTGTCCTTGCAGATTTTTGGTGAGCCAGGGTTGCATTAAGCCACTCTGTGATCTGCTAATCTGTCCAGACCCCCGGATTGTGACTGTGTGCCTTGAGGGACTTGAAAACATTCTGAAGGTTGGAGAGGCAGACAGGGAAATGGGATTGCATAATGGAATCAATCTCTATGCTCAGATGATCGATGAGTGTGAAGGGTTAGATAAGATTGAGAATCTGCAGACTCATGACAACCACGAGATTTACGAGAAGGCAGTGAAGATCTTGGAGAGATACTGGGCTGAAGAGGAGGAGGAACAAAACATCCAAGATGGTGGGAATGAAGTACCCCAATCTCATCCAAGAACAGAAGAAGCCCTGCAGGGTACTTTTAACTTTGGAGTTAACCAGCCAAACCTCCCCCCTGGTGGCTTCAAATTTGGGTGAAATGGAAATGAGAATGCAGCCGGCCTCAAGAGTTTTGTAGGTGTGTTTCTACACTTGTCAGAAAATGAAAATTTTGGACTTCTGTTTGTATTTTGGGAGCCGGTTTTTAACTGTGATGGGTTTGTTTCAAAGTGTTGAAAGGTTTCAACTTTCATCCTGCCATTTTCATACTTGATTTGTATTGAAAAGAAAAAAATTAGTAATTCCTCGTGATTGCCATAATATCAAATTTTTAGGATTCAATTCCTCGCTATTTATTTTTTAATACTAAGATAATTCCTATTATTATTTCTAAATTTTGAATGTTAATTTCCTTCACAAGAGAAACTTCCAATAATAAAATACCTTTGTGCAATTGCTTCTTTCAAAATGATAATAAAAATATATAATGTAATTTAGATTATATTTTATTACACAATATAAACTATTGTCTCTATTTAATAGTTTCTTATTTATAGTATGGTATAATTTAAATTATAAAATTAAGTAATAATAATAATAATCTTGATTTTAAAAAAATAAAACTGGTTCATAAAAAAAAAACCACAGTTTTAATGAAAAAAATACTTCAATTACAATAATATTTATTATTATTATTATTTATTTGGTACTTATAGCATTACCCTATCAATTTTTTTCGTATCTCCAAATTAATTCGAGTAACTTGGTAAGGAAATGGAACTAGCCTTTTTGTTCTTGAAAAAAAAAAGCGATTGCTTGAAATAAACTTAAAAAAGAAAAAAGAAAAAAAAAGGGCCACCCAAACAGGAGAAAAGAAAATTAAAATCCCAGTTCCAGCAAGCCCTAGGGTTTTAGGGTTCTGCTACGAACAATGTCACAGGACGAGTATGGAGTTCTTCTCTACTACAGGTACACCTCCATCCCTGATCTGGACAACCTTCTCTCCTTCTACGAGTCCAACTGCAGCTCACTTGGTCTTCTCGGCCGAGTTCGTCTCTCTCCCAACGGCGTAAATGTCACCGTATGCTCTGCTTCCCATCTCTCTTTTTCGTCGGTGATTCATTTCTGAAACTTCTATAATCTTCCACCGTTCTCAATATGTCTGCAATGCAATGTTAAGAGATTTCTGGGATTTTTGATTAGGTTGGTGGGCAGTTTGTATCTTTGGAGAAGCACATTGATGCTGTGAAGTCCAATAGTTTGTTTGAAGGGACTGACTTCAAGCTTGCTTCTTGCCATTACCCTTTGGATGACAAGGTTGCTCGTGAATGTGGGTTCACTTCTCTTTCAATTCGGATCGTCGAGGTCTGTTGCAAAATGCAACTTCATTGTTGTTACGTGTTCTTTGACAATGTTTATGTCATGCAGATATTATAGTTCTTTTCTGTTCTCAGGAATTGGTTACTTTCAGTTCTTATCCGCTGCTGAAACATCCAGAGGTTTCTAATGCTGGGAGGCATCTATCTGCTGCGGAATTCCATTCTGTTCTTCGGAGTGCAGGTAGTAGCATTTTGTCTCATGAATCCCCTTTTTTTTCATGACGTAAGAATGTTTTGCTATAAAGGAAAGTGATGAGGATTGTAATGGGAACTATTGGTACATTTATGCTTCATAGGACAAATTGGAGGGGATGGGATTGATGATAAGCAGCTAGTCCTACTAGACGCAAGAAATTTATATGAGACAAGAATAGGCAAGTTCCATGTGCCACATGTTGAAACGCTGGATCCAGGAATCAGGCAGTATAGTGATTTGCCCAGCTGGATAGATGACAATGCAGAACAATTGAAGGGAAAAAATGTCCTCATGTAAGTACTCCACTGAAGATGTAATGTGACGTTGTTCTGCCCTAATTTGTCATATAATGTTCTTTGTGTGGCTGAAATGGTATCCAAATCCAATTAATGGTTAGACCGCAATTTTCCTTGCATTACGTTACAGGTATTGCACTGGAGGAATCCGGTGTGAGATGGCATCAGCTTATATCAGGTCAAAAGGTGCAGGATTTGAGAATGTGTTTCAGGTCAGTTCCTAGACTTGAGCAGGAAAAGTTAACCCCTTTTCTTTGTTTCTCTTGCTTATATTCAGTAGTTGGTGTTACAAGCTGCTGTGAGTGAGGATCGTGTTTCTTGCTGAAAGAAATTATAATAATCTTGATTGTGTTGGCTTTTTTGCAGTTATTTGGGGGAATACAACGTTATTTGGAACAATATCCTGATGGTGGTTTCTTTAAAGGGAAGAACTTTGTATTTGATCACCGGTATGGTCTCTTAGTTTGAGAGGATGCTTTCATTAGAACTTCTGCTAGTTTCTATTCTTATGTGGGCTGGAAAATGGAAATTTCATTTTTGTATTATGTGTGTCTGTGTGAGGCAATGAATGATTTACAAATCCAAAAAGAAATTGATTGATATGATAGGGCCCCTTTATTTCAGTGTAAAGAGAAAGTGGACTACTAATTCTTGATATTTAATTTGAATACAGAACTAGCAAGTAGAATTGATATATTCTTTTGTTCCCTTAAGATGAATAAAGAAACCTCACCTATTTAAATGTTGTGATTAAAGTAAACAAAATCTAGTAGACGAATTCAAGAAGGGAAACTTTATTCTCAAATGGCTTGGTAACCTAAAAGTTGCAATGCAGCTTTGTTGAAATGTCTGATTATTTAAATCAGTGACAGAAAACTGATTTAATTATGGATAATGTTGAAAATATCTCACTCCATTTTGGTATTGGTTGTAGAATTTCAGTTGGGAGCTCAGATCCAAATATAATGGGCACCTGCCTTCTTTGTGGCACTTCATTTGATGATTATTCTTCACGTTGCCGATGCATTCACTGCAGAATGCTTGTTCTGGTCTGTGATAGTTGTCAGGTATGTTCTGGTTTTGTAACTCATTTTTTAAGGACCCATCTGTATAATATTTCTTCAGATATACTTTTCATCTTGAATATTTTGTGTTATTGATTCTGAATTTTTTCAATTGAGGGCAGCAGATAAATGATGGTGTGTATGTTTGTGAGCTCTGCCAGAAACATGGTAAGGGTATTGAGTCAATTCCATCCATTAAGAATAGCAAGTCTGAAGCAGCACTGGATCAAAATGGGCAGAAAAAACTTTCTTCAGATTCCAAACTCTCATCTCAGCTGTCTTCAAAACATGGTAAGGTCTGTACACTGCCTAACCATTCTGCAAGGTTTTGGATTTTAGCATTAAATAGTTAAGTGATAGTGCTTCTGATTCTCTTTCAGTAGTAGTAGCAATCCCTCTAGCAAGTTTTGTCGTTGTTAATACATTTTTTTTATGCATAATGATGTTTTCTTGTGTTATAATATTTCTGTTTCAATTTATGAACTTATGTACATTGTTTTTTGATGACGTGTATGATTGCTTATGTGTGATATTATTTACTCAAGTGTCTAACCGAATATCACTTTAGATACTGAATTCTGGATTCATGTGGCTGTCCTGGTTGCTTGAAACTTGAAAGATACTGTTATCTCAATTTTCTTTCTACAATACTGACATTATTAAAAACCCTATGCTACAGCTAGCGGGCCTCCAAGGAAGCTAAGAATCTTATGTTTGCATGGATTCAGGCAAAATTCCTCCAGCTTCAAAGGAAGAACAGCATCATTAGCCAAGAAACTTAAAAGCCTTGCTGAACTTGTTTTTGTTGATGCACCTCATGAGTTACCATTCGTCTACCAGCCTTCTTCAACAGAACCAGATGGCAGTTCATCTCTGGCCTCACAAAATCCCCCACCATCAGAGAACTGCAGGAGGAAGTATGCGTGGTTGGTTGCACCTGATTTCATTGAAAAAAATGATACTGATTGGAAAATAGCCAATCACCCATTTGACCCTCTCCAGTATCAGGGACAAACAGATGGCTTTGACTTATCACTATCATATTTGAAGAGAGTATTCTCTGAGGAAGGACCCTTTGATGGGATTCTGGGATTTTCACAGGGAGCTGCAATGGCTGCTTCCGTTTGTGCACGGCAACAGAGGCTAAAGGGTGAAATTGATTTCAGATTTGCGATATTATGCTCTGGATTTCCTCTTCCAATACCAGAGTTGGATCAAGGAACAATTAATTGTCCTTCGCTTCACATATTTGGCAGTGAGCCGGGGAAGGACAGGCAGATCACCAGCCAGGCGAGCAGAAACCTTGCATCATTATTTGAAGACGGTTGTTCTGTTGTCATTGAACATGAATCTGGACACATCATTCCAACTCGTTCTCCTTACATCGACAACATTAAGAACTTCCTTCAACGATTTCTCTGATGACATTAAGCCTGTTTCTTTAATCAGGATAATGTCTGACATCCGTGCTGTTTTTGTATGCCTTAACACCTCTGCCTAGACTAATGTATTCTACTGGGTTCTTTTAAAGCAATTCAGATGTCTTTTAAGTGCTTGACTTGTGTATTTGATTGGTTTTTCATCTGCTTTTACCTTGTTCAAATGTAGATTTATCCTTGTGCTCTAATATCTAAAAGGACTAGTTTTTTTCTTGAAAACATTAAAAATTAGTTGTTTGATATTGTAGGAATTTAAGTTATTGAGTTTGACTCTAAATTAAGATTTTTAAGTTAATAATTATTAATTTTGTCAAACTTCTATTGTTTAAGAAGCTGTTAAAGAAGTATTAGCTTCTTAAACAATTTCTTAAGCATGAGATATGTTAGACAAGGCTTATAAAATTGTTTATTTTTTAAATATGTTAGAAAGTAAAGTTTATTTTTTACCATTTTTAACTACAAATGCAAAATTTTCTCAAACAAATATAAAATGCAAACTTTACTTAAAATAATTGTTGATTTTTTTGGGTAAATTAAAATAATTGTTGTCAAAATAGCTAAAATGGCTTTTTGGGCAAAAAAAAAAAAAAAATGGTAAAATGGCATAATTCACAAGGATACTACTGTTCCACGGAACGCACCGTTTTTGAGGTCTGGCGGCGGCCTGGTGGATCACTGTCACCGGGGAGTGACGGGAACTGCTTCAGTCTTAAACCCTAAACCGAAAGACACAAACTTTCAGTTTGATCAGTTTTGGACGCCAAAACTTTGAACAGATTGACTCCAACAGATTCAGTACCGGAACTGTTATCTGCTCAACAATAAAAGAGACATCAGAAATCTTTATCAAAGGAAGCAGCAAGAATGCAGATTCTGGGGAGGAGATTGCGGCAGCAAATATCTCTCAAACAAGTACCTTTCTTTACATACCTTGATGAATTTTTGGATTGTTTTGTCATCTGGGTATGTGTTAAATTGTCTATTGCTGGTAAGTTTTACAATGTGAATTAATGCTTTTTAGGCTATTGGTGGCTGTGCGTATTCTACCAATAAACTCATAGATGTTGGACAGCCAACTCCTGCATCTCATCCTCAGGTATGCTTTCAATCTCCTAACATGTGCAATTCTGCGGATATTAGAGGATATTAGTTAATCTCTTTTAATGAACAGTGTTTTACTGAAATGGTTTTGGTTGTTTGTTTGTTTTGGCCGTGCAGTTAATGAAGGAAGGGGAGATTACACCTGGTATTTCTACCGAGGAATACATCTCAAGAAGAAAAAGCCTATTGGAACTTCTTCCGGAAAAGAGTTTAGCTGTCCTTGCAGCTGCACCTGTAAAGATGATGACTGATGTGGTGCCATACACGTTTCGACAGGATGCTGATTACTTGTATCTTACTGGCTGCCAACAACCTGGTGGAGTGGCAGTTTTAAGTCATGAAGGTGGCTTGTGCATGTTCATGCCAGAGGCAAAGCCCCATGTATGTCAGTTTTTTATCATTGAATTTCTTAATAAGTGCTTGGCAGTCTGGTAAAATTTTGATCTGTGAAGCATGTGTTTTGTTATGGAAGTAGATTGACATCAAATATCATATGATCTCTCTTTCTCTCTCCCTGTGATAAACTTTTGTATTATGCAATGGCAGTGAAATGACTTGAGCCTAAATTTTACAGTAGTTATAATTTCTGTAGGATGTAACTTGGCAAGGACAAATAGCAGGAGTTGATGCAGCACTGGAAACATTCAAGGCTGAGCAAGCATATCCAATAAGCAAACTAGGCGAGGTAAGTTCAAAATTTTGAATATTCATGACTATTACATCGCTTCAAGTTTTACTTCTCTTTCAGCTGACAAACCAGAGACATTTCTACCTATTAAAATGGTTGCAGCCATCTTTGTCTTAGTTTAGAATGGGATACTTTAAATGCCTCATTTGGTGTGGGTAATCATGCTCAAATTCATAAATCAAAATTCTTTTATGAGCTTTAGCTGTTCTCATCCTACGAAAAACCTTTTATGTTTTATTGATTTATGTTAAGAGGATCATACAATTAGCATCTCAACAGTTGAATCAAACAATGGACACAACATAATTTGGTTGAAATTCTAATTGTTTCAGAAATAACTGAACCTTGTTTTTGCACATTTGGATGAGGTTGTTCATTGATCTCAATCCAAAGTAATGCATTTATCTAGCAAATTTTCCCCTTATCAGAAGCTGATTCTGCCTATTAATGCTTTGTCTTTCCATTATGATACATTTCAAGCACTGTAAGGCTCTAAGCAGGAATTTTTTTTTTTCTTCAGCCATTTACATGTTTTTATGCATTTAGAGTTACACATGTTTCTTGCACTCTTTTTCTTTCTTTCTCCTTTCCTTTTTCTGTTTTTTAAAAAAATTAATGGCTGGCAGATCCTTCCAGATATGATAAGAAGATCCTCCAAATTATTCCACAATATGCTGACAGCCACACCAACATATACAGATTTAGAGGCTTTTCGGAAGGCAACTTCTATTGGAAAAGTGAAAGACCTTTCCAGTTTCACCCACGAGCTACGTTGGGTAAAATCTCCAGCAGAACTTAAGTTAATGAGAGAATCTGCATCAATTGCTTGTCAGGTAATTCTCTACCAGGGTGTATCATTCTACCACAAAATAGCAACTGAAGAGACAGAAGTCTCTTGGAGGTTGGCAAGGATCCAATGAAACACGAGCTTTTGATTTAGGATTTCTTTGAGTTTTGAGGAGTGTTTACTTTTGTTTGCTTTGCTGTTGAGTTCTATCTTCCTGAGGTCAAAAATACCCCTCAGGCAGTTTCTTTTCTTGGTTGTAACTGAAGTTTCACTTTATATTGGTGTGTAGCTTATTTGACAAAGGTCTATGGGATAATTCACTGGATGATAAACATAATATGTGTTCTATTTTTGGAAAGGCTCTTTTGCAGACGATGTTGCATTCAAAGGCATATCCTCATGAGGGCATGCTATCAGCAAAGGTTGAATATGATTGCAGGATGAGAGGTGCTCAGAGAATGGCGTAAGCTTTTGCCTTTATACAAGATGAAAACTCTAAAAATTTTCTTTTTACTCTATTCCCATTATGCTTGTAATACTGAGTCTTTTCGGTAGAGTGATCGTGAGTAAATTTGTTTCTCAATTTATTATTGTAAATATATTTTCTGCATATATTATCTAATTGTTTACAATTATCATTGCTCCTCAACAGATTTAACCCTGTGGTAGGCGGTGGCTCTAATGCTAGTGTGATACATTATTCTCGAAATGATCAGATAGTAAGTTCATTTGTTATAAGCCTGTTTCTTGCTTATAGAATACCAAAAATTAATTGATAAAGCTTTGCCTTATTTTGATATGAAAATGATCTACTTCAAAATTTACATTATTTAATCCTTTTTCAGGTTAAAGATGGTGATCTTGTTTTAATGGATGTTGGATGTGAGTTGCATGGTTATGTTAGTGATCTTACTCGTACCTGGCCACCTTGTGGTAGATTTTCTTCCGTACAGGTATGATGTCAAATGCTTTCGAAATTCAACAATGTATTCATCACAAAAGCTGTATAGAGTTCTGATATGCAATTAAGCAGCATCTTATTCTTCCGGTATATGATTTATATTATTGAAACAGTTCTCTTCATTTCTTACCTCTCACTTGGGCATTTCAATTATCTTTTAATAATAAGCATCCAATTCCACTTCCTTCATGTTCTGCTGCTGTCCAAGTTACTAATGCCATTCATCAGTCTTATTTGTTCTACATTTTGTTATTTGTTATTTGAATATTCAAATCCCGAATAAGAAGCTTATAGCTGTTATATGCTTTCAGGAAGAGCTTTATGATCTCATACTACAAACCAACAAGGAATGTATGAAGCTTTGCAAACCAGGATCTAACATTCGTCAAATACACTACTATTCGGTATGATATAGGATTTTATATTTGTGATAATTCTAATCTTGCATCCAGCTTCCTTATGTGAATAAGCAATGCTGCTTGGTCATCTTGCAAGCAAGATGAGTGATTCATCAACAATGTCTAGCTCAAAAAATTGTTTAATCTCTGAAAGCTCTGTGCCTTTTAGGTTGAAATGCTGCTCAAAGGACTCAAGGAGATTGGAATTTTAAAAAATGATACATTTAGTTGCTACAACCAATTGAACCCAACTTCTATAGGTTTGTCAATGCCTTCTTTGACATATACGTCATACTATCTTTCACGCAATATTAGTCCAGAGACTATAACCTGGTTGGGAGAGCAATTTTTAGCAATGAACCCTAAATATTCCCTTTCTGAAATTTTGAATCACATAATTTTAGTATTTATTTTAATTTTTACTATTTATTTCCAGGTCACTATCTAGGGATGGATGTCCATGACAGTGCAATGGTTAGCTATGACCGACCTTTGAAGCCAGGTGTTGTAAGTCATCTCTCCGTGTTAAAATTAATCTGATGTTTTCAACTTATTTAGTATATTGAGTTATCATGGAATAGATTGTTTTAGAGTTTTTATTTTTTATTTTTTTGTTTACTTTTCGTTTACAGGAGTAGCATCTTATTGAAATTGTAAGACATTGTTAAAGAAAAATTTAAAGATGGTTTTACTTGGTTGTTGGATTGGTGATTAAATATACATTCTCCATTGTTGATATTGATTTACTATCCATTTCAGGTGATAACCATTGAACCAGGAATCTACATCCCGTCCACTTTTGATGGTCCGGAAAGGTTTGTATTGAGTGTTCCATCATCACTTCCTAAACCTTAGAAAATGAAAGCTTCCTACAAAATATTTCCGCTTACTAACATTTCGTAACTGCTTAATTTGGATATGCATTGAAGCAAATTTACATTTGGGGAATGACAGTCTCAGATAGGCAGTTATGAGTTTATAATATTATTATACTTTAACATTCTACTCTCCAGGTTTTGGTTATAAGAAATGGAGCTTCTGGTCTGTTTGTTGCATAAGCCAACCCTGTTTTCTCTCTTTCTCCCTCGTACTATGCCCGTAATGATTTCATTTTTAAACATGGATGTTTATTGTGTTAACAAGCTCAAATTTCATAAAATGTTTATAAATATATCGTGTTATATTAATAATTTCCAATAACTTTGTTACCAAATAGATGCTCCTTTATATGAAATAAATTTTGTTCAGCTTTACATTGAAGGTCTCATTGACTCTTGATACAAGTCACTAAATGAGATGTACATGTTGCAGGTACTGTGGAATAGGAATAAGGATTGAGGATGAGGTTTTAATCACGGAAACAGGTTGTGAGGTATGGATTGTGTTGGCTAATGTTACTCCATTCTCACTAGGGAAAAAAATGTGGTTATTTTAGCACTACGAACTCAACACTATCAGCACCATAGCACTGATAATAAACTTTGAGATGGTATATGTAAACTTACAATGACTTCAGCCAACTCACCCTCCTCTACTTTCATGGCCATGGATTCTGGAACAGGTCCTTACAGGATCAATGCCTAAAGAGATCAAACACATCGAGTCCTTGCTAAACAATTACAGC